GCAAAGAAGATGCTTATGGATATGATGCATAGATCTCTTATGTTACTATAATAGACATTATGTCCAAGTTTCTAGACAAAAAATTAAAAACACATTTATATTTTTAGATTTTAGTTTTTGATAATGCTTTAATAGCTAATATGCATCCAATGGTGATAAGTTTGGCTACTAGTACAAATCTCTCACTATAGTCTATTTAATATACCTATAAAGAGTTTCTGGTAGTAATCTTATTTTAAACAGTCCAATCTCTTTTATCAAATATTTTTTGGTTTTAGATGTCTACTTACAACCTATGACATTGCAATCACATAAAAAAAGAAGTTGAAACTGAAGATTTATTTTTATAAAGAAGTTATAATTATCATAAATACCTCCAATTTTATGCATCATTAGACTTAAGCACATCTTTAATGGTAGTATAATTATGTCAAATAGTCATATTTCTATGATATGAATGTAAAACTTTTTGTAACATCATGTGATTCTTTTACTCATATATATATATATATATATATAATCTGCTATATTATCACTATAAGATTTTTTCTCTATTTTCTTTTTAGATTTTTTAAAAATTTGTAGTATCTTTTATTTACTTAAAATTGCACTTTTAAAATAATTCTTTTTTTTTTTTTTTTTTGTATTATCAACATTTTTTCTGCCATTGAATTAGTCATAATTTCCACTCAATGCATCTTTATTAAATAATAATGATGGATGTTTATCTACAACCATTACTTTATTGTCTTTTTTTTCTTTTTTAAGAAACATCTTCATTCTTTTTTAATAATTTTTTACATTAAAAATAATTCTATCTTTTTAACACATGATCTTTTTAGTGCCAAAATGCATCAAATTATATGTATTAGTGCTTTCAAAATATCCAAAAAAATGACCACTTTACAATCTTTCCATTAAGTTTTGACCTTCTTACATGTAAATTTTTGGCATAAGTAATACAATAAAACACCTTCAAACATAAGACTAAAAGCTTATTCCAATTTTGTACTTCTTTAGATGTCATTTTATCTACCACATTAGCAAGATATCTTTTATAGATATATATTATATTAAATACTATTTAAATATAATATTCCAACCAAAGTTTTAGACATGAATCATTTTATTTATTATTCCTATAATAATATGATTTGCACGTTTTTTAACTCAATTTTATTGTGATGGCTTCTATAATCCTAATACACCTAATTATTGTCAAAAAATCTATGTTTTTAATTTTTTTCGAATTTAAATCAACAAAAATCATTACATTGAATCTGTAATTTTGAATGCATCCAATTAATCTTCTATTCAGCAAACAAGGTAGGAGAAACAAAGATTTTATTTGTTTTAATTTAATAATACAAATGATTGTTTGATTAAATTTTTTTTTCTTTAGTAGAAACTATTTTAGTATTTAAAAAGAACTCTTATGTTATAATATATATATATATATATAGAGAGAGAGAGAGAGAGAGAGAGAGAGAGAAACTTCTTAAAGCCACTCTTCAATTTTGTTAAAGCCACATCCAACCCTATTCCTATTCCACCTACGTCATTCTTCAATCCAATACCGAGTTCCTAGCCATGATGTCTATCCTTGATCCCCCTTGTCTTGATTCCACCTCCATCTCTATTCCAAGCCTACATGTTCTGATTTCACCTTTGTTCCCATTTCTTCTTAAAACTCAATAAATGATAGTGTCTTCTCCAAATAATTCAATGTATTCATAATTCATTTAAAAATAAAGAACTCTCTTGAAGATTTTTTTATTATTTTTGTAAAGAAAAAACTATAAGAGCTTGAATCTTTGTATTTTCTTATGTTCATTTCTTAATTCTATCTTGACATTGATCATAAACTAAAGTATTTTGGAATTAATTTTTATATAAAATAAAAGTGAATATATATATATATATATATAGATAAAAAATTAAATTTTAAATATTAATTATCTTAATCCTTATAAATATTATATTAAAAATTTACTAATGATTTATTGTGGCATAATTCTACCTACTTAATTAATATAAATCTTTATGGAATGTAATAAATAATAAATAAGAGAAGTAACTTTTAAAATAATAATAATAAATCTATAGTTTCAAAAAATATATTTATGTTGATATGCATACAGATATAATTTAAATTTATATATTAGTATTACATATCTTAAAATAATAATGATTGAATTTTTCTATATGTAAAATCAAAATGTATAAAAATAATAATATTTGTACTTGATTTGTTACAAAAGTACCATCTTCTTTTATAGAAAGAATATAATTAGTAATAAGACCTTAAATCAAGCAAACCTTACATTTTTGTAGAAACATGGATAGGGCGGATAGAGAAGTGGAGACGGAGAGGGTAGAGATGGAAGTGGGGTTGGAATAAGGGAGGATTAGAATGAGGTGGTGGAGTTCATTTTAAAATCCATGGTTGAGAATGAAGTACATGGGATGGAAATGAGATCAAGGATATGGAACTAGTACAATTCGAATCATTTAGTAAGAAGGTATGACTTTAACAAAGTTGGCATATGGCTTTAACAAGTTCTAATATATATATATATATATAGAGAGAGAGAGAGAGAGAGAGAGAGAGAGATTAATTTTGCTATCAGAGACAGAGAATGTTCTATTATATGTATAGATAATATGATTTGCATGTTTTTTAAATCAATTTTATTGTAATGTAAATGAATTTGGGATCTAAAATATGATTTTTTATATTTTTATATTTATATTATTATAAATAAAATATAATAAATTCATATTATATACTACTTTTTTTCATTTTATACCTTGAATTCTTTAAATATATTAAAGCATTTAGTCTTGACTTTGAAAAGTTAATGTTATAGTTTTTTTAAAAATATATTGATAAATTTTAAGAAGTATTGTGATTATTTAGTAAAATTAACTTTGCTAAATTATATGCATATAAATATTTAACAATTTTTAATTAATAGCACAAGTTCTATCTTGTAAAAAAACAAATAGTTTGATTTTGTTTTTCAATACAAGTTTAATATATGTTGAAGTTAGAATCAGTATATATATATATATATATATATATATATATATATATTATTTTAAGCTTTTAGAATTTTCTTTAAGCTTTGTATTTAAAGATTGTATGTACTAATGTCATATCACCAATTTATTATTTATTAAAGTTCATATTATTACCACTTTACATATTATCACTTTCTATTAATTTAAATAGAAAAGTAAGTTTTAGTATTGATGCTAGATCATAGAGTACAGAATGTCAATTAAAATTACTTTACTTTTTATTATGGTATTGTTGATAAAATATTTTATTGAACTTAATAAAACTTTAATAAATATGTTGTGATATGAAATTAATATCTACCAATAGAATTCTAAAATTTGAAAATTATTTTTTAAAAAAATTATATGTCTTTTTGGTAAATAAATATTTTATAGAATACATTGATTAATTATAGTATATTTTTATATTCTTGGATTTGCAATAGTCTTATTATATTAATTGTAATGTAGTATTTTGTCTGAGAAGTTCTTCAATACTTTTTTAAATGAATAAAGATAAGAAAATATTTTTTAAAATTTATATTATAAAGTACTAGCTAAATTTTTGTACAGTTGGGCATAAAAAAATTATAAAATTATAAAATTTCAAAAATTATAAATTTGTATTACAAAATCATACAAAAGATCACAGAAGTAGTATATTATTTTTTTTACATTATATATATATATATATATATATATATGATTATTGTAAAAGATTAAACATCTTGAAAAGAATGTATCGATAAAAATATTATATTTAAAAGCTCCAAATAAAGATATTATATATGCTTTGCAAATAATATATATGACAAAATATTGATTCATAACTTTTAATATAAAAAACCATACAATCTAATATCAAATGCCACACATATTTTTAGAAAATAATTTAAACCTAAAGAATATATTTTAAAGAAAAAAATATATATTTATATAATTTTGAAAATAGTATAAATATAAAAAATATTTTAAAATTAGACACATGTATCAAAAAGAATGTAAATGATACTTAGGATAATTTACAATCTCTATTTCTACTTAATCCAACTATCATACTAGTAAATTCTCTTGTTGTAAATCTCTCCATCTGGAGTTTATTGCACACATTCTTATACATTGAATTGTGATATTTTAAACTTACAAAAATATTTAGGTAAAAAATCTTAATCAGATAATTTCTTTAATAGAGCTTATAACATATTGTTAATTTAAGAGGATGATAAAAATTTATATTTTTTAATATAGAATATTCAATTTTAATTATAATTTTCAATAAAGACATCCTCATTGTTTATTTCTATAAATCCATCCTAATAGTATAACATTGTGAGTCACTAAATCAACTCACTTACATATTTAGTACAAAAAATACAATTGTTATGCTTAAAATCATAGATTTTCTGAGGTAGCAATAGAATTTTTAGGAAAAATAGAAAATAGATTGCCAATAGCAAATATGTAGTCTAGGGTAGAATTTATTAAGACAAATTTCTAAGATGAATAGACTTTTCTTTAAGTTAGCTAATACTAGATGATGGTCCAATGGAAATAGCCTTGGTTGTCATGGATTCTTAATCAAGATAGGAAGCTAAAAAATAATGATTGATTCAAATCAATTCAAAAAGAAAAAAAATAATGATTGATTCTCTCTCTCTCTCTCTCTCTCTCTATATATATATATATATATATATATTAAGTTAGAAGAAAAAAATCAAAGGAGTAGAAAAAGAAAAAAATATAGGAGAAAAAAAAGAGAAAAAGAAGGGAAGAAGAGAAAAGAAGAAGAGGAGGAAAGGAATAGCAAAAATGAAAACAGGGTAAAGAAAAAAATAAATATAATCTTTCCGGCTGGATGGATGCCAGCCGGATCTCTCAGAGGAGTCCGATGGGGTCCGGGATAGTTCTGGACCCCGGCCACATTCTTTTCTATCTTTTTTTTGTTTTTGTTTTATGGTCCGATGAAAGAGCTTCAAGAATTTCGGTGTATCTCCCTCACCTTTGTGTGTGGTTACGATTTTTTCCTCTTCATCCCATGGAAGTGCTGCGGTGCAGCATCCTCTCCTTTTCTTCTATGATCAGCGTGGAGCTAGGAATCGGTAATTCTGTTTTTTTTTTTTTCTTCTTCTTTATCTGGTATTTTCTCCTGGAGATTCAACTGGGGGGTTGTTCAACTCCGGTGGAGGCGTGCTGCGGCTGGCATTCAAGTGGTGGCAATCTTGGCTGCTCATTAGATTGCAGCTGGTTGCGGCAACAAAACGTTCTGTGACATAGGCCCTTGCTGCGTGATTTTTTGTTACTATGTTGATCTTGCCTCGAAGTGTGCTGCGGTCAAGGCTGCTGGGCTAACTTCTATGGTTTTCGTGGCTTGCAGCGGTTTAGGCTAAGGGCATTGCGGTAAGACGTTTAGAGCGGTGACCAAGGATTTTGGAGAGGTTTTGCAAGGAAGTTGATCAACGGTCCTAGGAATGACGGCATTACTTGTGGAAGTGGTGGATCCTTTCAAGCAGCTAGAGTTATCATCGACAAGATTTTTTTCTTTTATGCACGTGCGACGGTGTTACTCAGTGCCTAATTTTTGTTTTGTTTTGTTTTTTTTTTTTGTTTTTTTTGTTTTTTTTTTTTTCTTCCGCTGCAAGAAGCCGACCGCATTATTTAGTTGTGTTTTTAATTGTCATTGCGAATGTTGTTGCCGGTTCTGATGTTCTATTGAGCTGCTAGGCTATGCGAGGGTTATTCAGTAGCGAAGGAGTAGCGTGATCACGTCCACCGTCACTTTTGATCTTCCCCGCTGATTGTGCTCTATATTGCGATGGCGCTGGTGGTGCTGGGATCGAGTGTATCCAATCCTGGGTATTGTGAATTATTGCTGGACCAATATTTTGGAACTAGAGTGATCTCTAGAGAAGGTCACATAGTGCTGACATATCACTGATGGCATAAAATCACGTGCAATGTATATGAGGAAGAGGCAATCAACAAGTTTTAGTCAGCCATAGTGAGAGGTGTCGGTTGATTGCAGGAACTGAATTTTTTTGTTAACATCTCCATTAATGCGCTTTGAAGATGGAAGTTGGTTTTAGAAGCTAGATGCAAAGGATTTAGAGGGTTTGCAATGGTGCGGAAGGAACCTTTGACTTCTTCAGCTGTGGTGGCTAGATCTCCTTTGTATTACATAAGACTAGGGAAGGATTGATGCAGTGAATACCTAGATTAAGCTTCTCCATCTGAAACTAGCAGAGTGAAAATTATTACCTTATAGGGCTCAGGGGTTGTGATTGGTCATGATGAAACAATTCAACTTTTTAGCAGATCGAGGAGGAAAACAGAGGAGGCTGTGAGGACTATTCCCTGGGTGGCCTCGGTGTTACTAACCAATCGAAATGCAGCGATGCAGAACATCTTTGACGTGTGGTTTCATGCTTGGAGTAAATCTAAATAGTTAATGTTAGCCTTAGCAAAGTAGTGTTGGACGTTGAGTTGTGTTCTTGCCACTAGCGGATGAGAAATCTTAAAGGCTCGACCCAGCGCTCTGAATTTATAGTCTTGATTGGAGAAGGCATGAGATTCGACGATGCAGAAAGTGCACTGCAGTACACAGAGTGACCTCAATCTGCTAGGTTGGTATTCACTTCAGGAGCTTCAGCATTAGAACACAATCAGATTGTCTTGGTATCAGCGCCTAACGTAGCGATAAGCTCCCCGTGCATACGATATCAACAAATCGATAGTTCTAGGACTTATAAGAGTTGACACCGTGGAGCAACCAGCCATGAAAGGACTTGCTGGTTTACCATTTTAAGGATTCTCCTAGAGTCAGGGTGTGGTGGTTTTAGTGGACTCGTTTCAGTTGGGGTGCGATGCCTTCGTGCTATTGGAGGTGGAAGGTTGACTCATCCTTGTCTGGACATGGATCTGAGGCGTGGGGCGAATTCTTGTTTTGCACATGGAGAGTTGCTACTGCTGAAGATTGGAGGTGCTGAAGATTGGAGTCTACTATTGCAGTGTGGAGTTGCTCGCAGGCTGCACTCTTCATCCCTCCGTAAGAACTCAAAGGGAACTAGTTAGGTGGATGAAAAAATATATATATATATATATATAGATGGATCATGGTAGATGCAAATGAACTAGGGTTATGATTGAATTAGGTTAGTTTGGATGAACAATTGAAATTGAATGAATTTTTTGAAATTAGATCAAAATATGTTTGAATGAATTCTTATAATTAAATGAAAACTTATTCAATGATGAATTTTAATTAATATATAATGAAATAAAATAACAATGATAATAATTATAAAAAAATAATAAAAACAAAAAAATAAATTAAATAGATAATTTATTTCTCAATGCATGAATTTGGAGTGACTTACTATTATAAGTGTGAGTTGTGGTGAAGTTTTTGCTTGACTATTTGGGTGTTTTAAGAAGATTAAAGGGTGATTTAATTAAGATTTAAATAAGAGCTACAACTTATTGAACTTGCATAATTAATTCACTTGTTGTGGACTAGAATAAACTTCCAACTAGTGGAGGTTTATTTTAGCTCACAACCATATGTACAAATACTATTTTTATTTTATTTTTCTAATTTATTTAGCATAATTTTAATACACTAAAAAACGAGCCTCAAATCAAAATTCTATACTTTAATTAACCAACGAAGCTTACGTCGAATTTGTTGTTGTAGAGAGCAATTCCACGAACAAGTTTGTCTACGAAACTCAAAGCCGTAGACAAATCCGAAGCCGCTAAGATTGGTGCTCCTTAAGAGGCCTTCCACATCAGTTGCATTTGCTTGCTGCACCAAAAGAACCTCTCATGCATTGGTGCTCGCAACTCACGATCCGATCCACAAGTGCACGAGGTTAACATTGATTGCAGAAGAGTAGAAGAAAATTAAGAGGTTGATCCTTTTCGGAAAGATGTGCATCATTCTAAAAGCTTAGTCAACGTCAAAAAGGTACTGCGAGAACAATGACCGGGCCGTGCAGATGTTGGAGGAGGAAACAGGTGGCGCTCAGCAATACCTATCAGCTCGCTCGCTTTGCAAAGATAGCATCAACCTGAGATCTTGGTTATAACGATTTTGGTTGCAATTATGACAAGGTTTCGATTGAGCGTTTCCCGATTGGCTAGCATCGTCGAATCTCACGAATAAGATGCAAATGTAGACAAAGGTAAAACAGACACAGCTCAAATCTACAACAATGGAAGCCAGGAAGCTGTATGCCAAGCCTGGCAACAGCGTTGCAAACAGATGGGACGTCTAAGTCTAATTTGCAACTGATAAAACCTTCGGATAACATCATCTTCGGTATTGCATTTCAAGGAAGAAGGAGCTCACCACAGCCTTGGACGGTGCTCCAGTGAGTAGATTATTAGAATACAGAAGGGCAGAACCCCCTGCCATTCCAAAACAAATGAAGTGCTACAAAAAGCATGGCTAAACCGCACCTCTAGCGTTTCAAAGCTTTGCCAGAAAGATGCAAGGAACGTGGCATCCAAGATACTGAGAAGCAGACCAAACATGCATGACGTTCGTTGTGAGCAGCATGAATATTCGAATCGCAGCAACTTGTGAATCCAATAACATCTCGATCCTAATTATGTGAAGCTTTGCAATGAAATTATACTGCTACTTGCCCTTGTTGTGATGCGTAGACTTGGACTCTTTCACTTTCTCTCTTCCGCTTCCATGACATGATTTGGAGCACCGCTAATGCAATTCTGTGGAAGTTTAGGTGTGAGGAGAAGCAGGTCACCAGGGACCTAATAAATCCAGGTTTAGGGTTAATTTCATATAACTACACACTGAATTTGCAAACTAAATTAATTACTCAATACTGTTCTGATTTAAAATTTTGGCACGAGACATATTATTTGAAGGGGTATCTGAGGAAGGCCTACGTTTCATATTTTGTGTGTAATTGTTTTCAAACATGTTTCCTACTATAATTCTCTTCAATATGTTGAGTTTGCCTTAACGAATTGTGTTCGTCAGATGACCTATAATAGTTCTAATAATAGTATCAATATGTGGCCTAAAATAATATTATTATTGACTATTTACCTGGTTATTATCATAGATATTGATATTTTTGACTACGTGAACAATATCAATTTATGGTTGGAATTAACTGAAAATCTAAAAAGAAGACACCATATTCATAGAATTGTTTCTATTTTATTATTGTTATTATTATACAATACCTTGATGAATGCACATGTTAATAATGTGCATGTGTGTGTATATATTCTTTTTGTGTATTATTACCTTAAGTATGCATTTTACATTCCAAAATAGTGTATTTGTGGTCCTCAATGAATGTTGATTTTGTAATACACAAAAAAACAAATTCCATGGTTTTAAAAGGAATGGTAGTCCAAATTGAAATCATGTGATTTTTTTAAGATTAAAGTTGTATGCATGGAAATAGTGAAAATAATTCTTTGTTAATCTTACTCAGAAACAAAACGATCTGGATCTAATTATAATATATATATATATATATATATATAAACATGAAAATGTTAAAATGACCCAGACTTTTGTTAAATTGACCCACATGTCTAAACCATCATTGCACCACCGTCCCCAGTCCCCGTTTCCCCGTTCCCATCTCGGTTCCCCCGTTCTCACAGGCTCTGCTCCCGTCTCGACCTCCCCTGTTCCCAAGTGGATGTTCTCGAGGCTTGTTCACCGGTATGCCTACTGATGCTTGAGCACCACGCTCAATATCGCTCAGAACTGTGTGTAGAAACTGTTGCGAAAAAGAAAAACAAAACAAAACAAAAAAATACATGCACATCGAACAACACTGCGTTGTCACATTATCTGACAATCGACAGTATCCAGAAGAATGTGTAATAGATACCGTTGCTGAGACTGTGAAGTGGTCCAATTGTTGAGTTTAAGTCGTAATGGCTGGTGTACTACACACCCGAATTCGTTGCTTGAACTACGAATTTGGGCTTTAAAATGTCTACTAGACTTCGGCCTAGGCAACTGCCTACTACTTGGCAAATCTTTGTTAACATAATCTACACCCACAGCTACAGCCTCGATGGCTGTTAAAGCGTTACCCGACGTCTCCGAAGCGACCTCCGAAAGGCAAACCTTGGGAACTGTTGTGCAGCCTACCCATACCTTGTGTTGAGGAGGTTCCCCAAGTTAACGTCTTTAGAGATGAAAGGGCGGCCTAGGTTTACAGACTTTGGGTTGGTGCCTTCAAATTGAGGGGCATTCATCCAGCCTTGGATAGAGGCCTTGGCTCCGTTTGAAGCTCATGACTGTGTCTGACGAAAGCTTACGGATTATAGCTCTTGCTTTCCCCAATTTTCGTTCCCTGCACCTTGCCAGCTGTGATTTACGACCGATGGCCCTAAGTGGATGAGACACTGTAGGTGATGATTTACTCCTTTCAATGTGAGTCCATCTCATGTGATGCAATCGAGACACATGAACCAGTTGTGAAATCAGATGGTGAGCAAGCCTGAATTTGGTGCAGCCCAGGCTGAGCACCGATAGCACGTGTCAGGACGTGGAGGCTTTAGTGCTACCGTTTTTGTTTTTCTGATTCTCTGTTTCTAATATAAAATGTTTAAGATTTATGATTTTTTCTTTGACAAGGTTAAGTGTGAATGATTGGTTACAGCCTGTGGGCAAAGATACATTTTTTCTGTGCACAGGCATCTCAAGGAGCTGGATTTGCAAGAAAATGAAGTCCAAGTACGCAGTGTAGGCTGGCTGACAGCCTTTCCTGAGTCCTAAACAACTCTGAAAAGTCTCAGTTTTGCGAACATCCAAACCCCATTGCCTAGGCCGAAGTCTAGTAGACATTTTAAAGCCCAAATTCGTAGTTCAAGAAACGAATTCGGGTGTGTAGTACACCAGCCATTACGACTTAAACTCAACAATTGGACCACTTCACAGTCTCAGCAACGGTATCTATTACACATTCTTCTGGATACTGTCGATTGTCAGATAATGTGACAACGCAGTGTTGTTCGATGTGCATGTATTTTTTTGTTTTGTTTTGTTTTTCTTTTTCGCAACAGTTTCTACACACAGTTCTGAGCGATATTGAGCGTGGTGCTCAAGCATCAGTAGGCATACCGGTGAACAAGCCTCGAGAACATCCACTTGGGAACAGGGGAGGTCGAGACGGGAGCAGAGCCTGTGAGAACGGGGGAACCGAGATGGGAACGTGGAAACGGGGACTGGGGACGGTGAATAATAAAAACGTTTTGAGGGATACAAGTATTACTTCAAAAACAAAAACTCGAACAAGAAAAAAATTAACAATACAATTAATAACAAAAATATCAACCAAATCGAGGGTTTTAATTTATCAAATAGATCTATGGCATAAAACATGGATTACATCTACCATAGATTGCATTACATGAATAAAATTGAACATTATTTAAATTCTAAAAATGCTTCTTTAGAAAAAGAAAAAGAAAAATTTACAAAGCTTGAGCACTAAAAAAGAGTACACAAAACCATCAAGAAAGAAAATTTTAAAATAATAAATATAAGATACTTCAAGCATCTACAGTACCCTAAGTAGCCGCTTTATACCTTTGCTTTAAAAATCAAAAGATGTTGTACTTCTTGAATATATAATATAATATGATATATTTTTAAAAATAAATATAAATATAAAAACATCAAAACAGGAGACACTATCTGAAAATTATATGATAAAGAAAGTATTTCTAAAACATCTTCGAAATGGTAAAATATAGAAAATTGGGTCACAAACAGGAGACAATATACTTAAAAATTATATGCAATGTTGCACAAGATATATATACTTAGAAATAAATTCTCCTTAATTTAATCTCTAAAATTCAAAGAAATATTAATTAAGGGATATGAATTAAGTGGGATACATATGTGTGTGTATATATATATATATATATAATTAAATAAGACTTAAAAGATACCTTTAAAAACTTCTAAAATCTAGACGTTAGAATTTAAAATTACAAATATTAATATTAAAAACATATCATGCAGCAGTATAAAATATTTTTTCTACACAACGCATCCAATAGCATCCTAATTAGATACATGCATACAGTGACAAACAAAATCGAGTACAAAATCTGAAGTGCCAACTTTCAAGAGCAATTACAGAAATTTCAATGATTGCTTTATAAATCTGAAAGTTACATGGAATAATACACACAGTCTTGTACACATGTACAAAGTTGCACATCAAATTGATAACTAAACATCCTTCTACAAAGTCAAATCAACAACTATGTCTTGTACTCAGTATTGTTCAAAGAAAATCTTCAAACTTCAATATTTAGTCCAATAACCTTTTGCTTCCAAAACAGCTGAAATCCTTCTTGGCATACTTTTATATACTTTCTCACAATCTTTTGCATCAAAACTAGGGTAAATACTACAAACATTCTCCCACAATTCTTGAACACCTCTTGGCCTTGGAGTGACTTGGCTTAAACGCTGTTTGAGAAGGGCCCAAAAATGTTCCATTGGATTCAAATCTGGAGATTGAGCTGGCCATCGAAGGAGCTGAAATGGCTGTGAAGAGAGCCAAAACTGAACACTTTTTGCTGTATGTTTGGGATCATTATCATGTTGAAAAACCACCTTAGTAGGATCTAAGTTGTAATTCTGTGTGGTACTTTGCAAGTAGGTTTCTAAAATTTTTTTGTACAAGTGTTGCTCCATTCTACCTTCAATTTGATACCAAGCACCCGGCCCAAAAGCAGTCATACAACCCCAAATCATAATTGAACCACCACCATGTTTGACAGTTTGACTAACATGTTTAGGTCCAGGTCGTTCTCCTTCTCTCAACCAACACCAAGACCTACCATCTGAGTTGATTAGGTTAATCTTTGTCTCATCACTGAAAATAACCTGTCTCCAATCATCAACGGTCCAATTTTTGTATTTATGAGCAAAACTCAACCTTGCAAGAACATGTCTTTTGGCAAGTAGAGGCTTCTTTTGTTGCACACAAGCACCCAAACCAGCTTCTCTCAAACCACACCTCAAGGTGATGTCTGAGAAGTGTTTACATGTTTTTTCTCGAAGTTGTTTTGTAGCTGCACTTGCCGTTTTGAGACAACCAGCAGTGACAAGGTGCACACCAAGTCGCTTCTCTTGCTCTCCTAAAACCTTTGGACGTCCTCCTCTTTGCTTTTCTATTTCACCACTAATCTCCCTCCTCAGATGAGCTACTGAAGACTGACTCATTCCAAGTGAGTCTGCAACTTTTCTTGTAGAAACACCACTCCTAAGCTGCACCAATGCTTGGTGCTTCAATGATTCACACAACCGAGGCATAGAGATACAATTGACAAATCAACTTTCACTATAAATAGTACACAACAAGAGCAACACAACAAACAAAAAATGCCCTCAAATCTTGCAACAAGGAGTGTACATTGAAATTTCGAAATTCAGCAAGAAGAAGCAACCAAAACTGAGTACGCACGTCTGTATGCTTCTACAACACTTTTCTCATAAATCCTACCTCAAATGATAATGAGATTTTTCATCTATGTAGAGGACTGGATGAATACACACAATAAAAAAGTAATTCTATCAATTGACTTATGTGTCAGTTGGAAGGATCAATGAACTATGAGTGTTCAGATTTTGTACTCGGTTTTGTTTGTCACTGTATATTGTTTTCACCCTCTTTTCCACCCTCTTTATCATTATTTGGATTATTTGGATTAGTTTAAAATTTTATTTTGGTTGCAATTTTAAATGAACTATATTATTTGTGTAGCTTCAAAACGTTTTTGTTTTTCACACACAGGTTTCATCTTTTGTAGTCATGCCGAAGTCTCCTTTGTAACCGTAACACCGGATAATGGATATATGCTCCTGCCCTGTTCGCTCCACAGGTTGCTAGCCAACTTCAGACATCCCATTCACAGCGACTAATTACTCTCCTTCGCCACCAGTTCTAAACAATCTCTGTTCCTTATTGTAGTATGCGCGGATCGTGTTGACAACAATGGACGTCTTACACCGCAATCTGTCTCGTCGTAACCTCGACGACTCCAATACCAAGATAAAATAACTGAATGCTTACCCTCACTGCACGTCCAATTGCTAGTCACGCCGAAGATGACTTCAATCCGGTCTCCGAGGTTCCACAACCTAAGTAAGACTCAACCAAAATCCTACTTCAAAACTTGAAACACACAACCTTCAACCAACAAATTTAGAAAAAAAAACAAAATGAAAAACGAAAAAGAGCACAGAAAATAACTAAAAAAACTAAAACTAAAACTAATAAACAAAACAAACGGTGTACGGCACCCCGGCGACAACTATCCGCGAATTCGTTGCAACAACATGACTGAATCAAAACTACCGCAAACGCAGTAGATGCACAATGGACCTAAATTCAAGCTCCATTGATCGGCCGCGACTTCGCATGGCACAGAACGCCCCCGTGCGTGAGCTATTAGTTTCAGAACACCCCAAACGGCTGCTCACTAGGCTTGAGGACAGAGCTACTTTCCCCCCATTGTGGAGTTGTCATTCTTGGAGCCGCCGTCATGCCTCAAGGGATCCAAACCTGCACTAACAGAAGATTTTCCTCCTCGCCGCAAGGCAGTGACGGCTGAAGAAGCAATTCACAAACCGCGAGGACCCGGCAAACGGATCACACAATATCCGGAACTCAGGTCTCAGTGTGAACAGAACATGTTGGAAACACATATTTTTCATGGAGTAGTGGCATGACCCAGGTGACGACCCACTGCCACGCAAGACGTGCTTGATGGCTTAGTGGATGGCTGAATACATGATATTATTCATTCGTCCCTTTTGCAGACACCGTGTAACCTTTGAGGTTTCGATTGCATTCGCGTTACTTCGGGAGCATTGAAGTCTTGGCTACTAATTGAGGTAACACGGAATTAGGAACAACATAGTGAAGATTCCAGGTGACATCAGAAAAAAGTCCAAGTTTTAGGTTTGACTGGAAGCTCTTCTTGTCTGAGCTTGAATGCATGTAAGTTAATGCTTAAAAAGGACTTTTTCCTTTTGGAGCCCATTCAGATTAAGTCCACATTCTTTTTTAAACTTGTTGGGTTTATTTCCTAGAAATTCAATAGGAATGAGTGGGTCAATATTGGACTGCGGATTGGGTGTTTGTTTTATGTCGCTGTTCTACAAATTTCCCTTCAGAAATGGTAGGTTAAAGGAGTATCGTAATTTTAATGCTTGTTTCATTCTAACCTAAATCCAAACTTGGTGTTTAAAAAAAAAACATAATCCCAAGTGGAATAGATGCTTACTTGTAATTCAAATTTGTTAAAGTTTAGGTGTGAATGCATCATTCATAAAACAAACAGTATGTATATATCTATCTATATATATATATATATATATATAATTCACAATATAACTTGTAATAAAATTTGTGTAATCTATTGGCTTGTATGGAGGTTGAGATTGTTTTTGAAATTATGCTTTTTAACTACCAAATCAACATAAAATTCTATCAATGATATGATATATTTTTAACATATTAATATGTTCATCAACACACTATTGTTGTTCTGATAAGTACTACTGTAGATATAAATACAGTGTTTAACCTTGTCAAAGGTTATTGCCATGTAAAATTTCAAGGTAACCAAATTGTTTTTTATTCAGAGTAACTTGTTTTTTTATGGTAAATCCCATCACATTTTTCAGTTTATTTGATACTTTTTAGAGACTTTCATATTTTTTTGGGGGGTTCTGCTATATTTTTAATTGGTTTTCTCTATGACTATTTCAAATCAAGTATCTCATTACTATCATCAAAATCAAATCTTTTATTATTTTATTTTTTATAGCTAGTTATGATTTTTTTTTTTTTTTTTTTTTTTTTTTTTTGTGATAGATGATAAAAAATAGGTTAACTTTGAAAAATTACATACATCTTCATCAAACAATATCAAAGTGCAAAACTATAAACTATTCAAATAAGATTAAAGTTTATAAGCATACTAACCAGTAATTTAAAAATAATAATAATATTTATACTGTTTTAAAAAAATGTTTATAATGTATGTGTGTAACTATGTGTGTGACTATATATATATATATATATATATATATATATGCACAAGTGCACAAACATTAATTTCGAAATTCAGGGTTTAAGATTTATATAAATAAAAGCATATAAATGCATTTGCATAGAGATAGAAGAAAACTTGATTTTAAAAATAGGAATGTGTTAAATTTGTTTTACTATTTGCATAATAATCATTGGATGTCAACCAATCAAAGGAATAAAAAATTTATCATATTAAATAATTAACCTTGGCATATCAAATTGATAAAATAAAATAAAATAAACATCGAAGATTTTTGAAGGGATAACATTTGAGCAAATACTTTTCCAGAAAAGTATTTTTCATCCAAATGGATGAGTTCATTCATCAACATGAAAAGTGGGATGAACAGAGTTTAGGTACGGAGGTACGGAGACGAGCTCCCTGGGCCATGCAGAACAACAGGAAACGTCGTTGGAGGAGAGTTTGAGAAACATGGGGAACGTCACAGAAGAAACGGGGCGGAAGGGGGGCAGGTGGGGAAGAAGAAGAAGACGACCTCGACGACGGCGACGAGGAGGGACGAAGGACGACGAAGGAGGACGTTTTCTCTAGACTAGGGCACCCGAGAGCTTCCTGTCTGTGCCGGGTAAACCGATACCGATGGCTTGCGTTTTGTACCAGGAATATCAATTTTCACACTTCTACAATGCATATTACCAAGCCAGCGTCGGTCCCCTCCTGCCCTCAACGTGTCGGATCGTCTTCTTCTTCGATGGAGCTGTCTCCTTCGCCTTACCCTCCGCGTCCCTCTGGATGACGAGTGATCCTTGCCAAGTAGCTTCTTCTCCCTCCTCCTCTATTCTAGTTTTATCCCTACTTGTTGCAGTTCACTGACTGCTCTCTTTTTCTTGCGACGGAGGCCCAAGCGTATCTTCGTCGATTCTCTCTCTCTTTTTTCTATTTTTTCTTTTATTTTTTTGGAGGTGCGTCTCTTTCTGTAGACCAGGGGTTTCTCCCGAACTGTGTTGGGCTAATTTGTCAGGTTTTTTGCGTTGGAAGATAAAGGGAGCAACGTGAATGTACTGAGTCACAGTTAGAATTTGTTTTTATGTTGAGTTGTGTTGTGTTGTTTGTTTTTATTTTTATTTTCAAAGCGTTAGTTCTCCCCCAGCAGGGTTAGCTCGGCCACTTTACGTCTTGGAAGGGGTTGCGGTGGAATTGGGGTGGCAAGCTGTTGGTACTCTTAGAAGGAGGTGCCCAGCAGAGGGTTTGAAGCATGGGGTCGGTAGTAGTAGCAACATCACTTATGTTTGGCTGTTGCTTACATCTCTAGTCTTTGGGACAGTCTCTGTTCACACGAAGGACATCTGAGTCCAGGAAACTTTTAATGTGTGATCAGCTTGCCATTTAGGCTTTCAATTTGCTTACGTTTCCCTTTGGCGCCTTCCGTGTTCTGTGATGAATATGGGATTGCTCGTCGTCAGGCAACAACAGAGCCTCTGTGTGGATGTTTGGGTTTTTTCTATTCGTATGTTATTAATGGACTAGACAGATATGCAACTGGGTTACGAGTTGAGCACACAATCTTGCAACGGTGGTAGGGGAGAGGTGGTCCTTTCATCATATACTTTTGAGCCTTTATGCAGATTAGAAGTATGGAATTGAAGCATTGAAAACCCTGAATTTTTTTGATGCTGAGAATAATAGGCGAGCATAAGCAGAGCGCGAAGCTTCTTTATTTCTTACTAGAAATTTGATTCTTTTATTTCATTTTATTGTACTGTTTATACATTTTGTGATTTTATTTTCTTCTGGAGTGGTGCACTGTTTTCTGGCGATTTCGTTAGCAGTAGATAGTCTCTCCTATCAGACTTGAAAACCTAGCTCGCGCACGTGTATAAGGCCAACTGCAATTAGAGGTGATCTTGCGGCAACCACAAGCTCTCCACAGTGTAGCGCCTCTAGCATGCTGATGGCTAGAGCTAGCTTCTTTATTGAAGTACCGTGCACTTAAAGGCAGTTACCATGTGGAAGCATATGTTGTGTGGTCTTCATCTCCTTTTCGGTGGTGCTTTTGTCTCGACAAAGATCATCTAAACATCTCGTGTAGGTGTTTAGATAGTGCACATTCGATAATAGGTGTAGAAGTGAAGCCCGTTACTGTTGGTGGTTTGGAAGCATTTGAAACTTTGTAATTAGTTCACCTGGGAGCATGGCAGCTTCGCGGTCACGCTCCGGATCTCAACAGCCTGACATCGACATTCGACAAATCATCGCAGAAGCTCAAAGTCGCTGGTTGCGGCCTGTCGAAGTGTGCGAAATCTTGAAGAACTATGCTAAGTATGGATTCAAGCTCAACCCCGTTCCTCCTGTCCGTCCCTGCAGTGGGTCCATGTTTCTGTTTGACAGGAAAACGTTGAGATATTTCCGCAAAGATGGCCACAACTGGCGGAAGAAGAAGGATGGAAAGACTGTGCGTGAGGCGCACGAACGACTCAAGACTGGCAGTGTGGATGTTCTGCATTGTTACTATGCCCATGGCGAGGATAATTCCAGCTTTCAGAGGAGATGCTACTGGATGCTTGACCCTGCACTCGAGCATATTGTGCTTGTTCACTACCGGGAGGTGACGGAAGGCGGGAGGTTTACAATGAGTGACTCACAACACGGTTCTTCAGCAGCTCATGCCGCCAGCCCTCCTGATGTGTCTAATCCGGCTACGCCCCCGGAATTGGACCAAGAAGATACTGATGTGGTCGAGTCTGAAGATATCGAAGACCCAGGGTCCTTGGACCCTATCATCCCACCTAATGCCCCGCAAAATACTCTTCTTGACCAGCTTACTCCCCGGGCCCAGGCTGCCGCAGACTTAGACAATTCCCCCGTGAATGGCTGGATAGAGAGTGATCTCAGAGGTGGAAGTTCTTCTCACTTGTGGATGTCCTCTTCAAGTGGAGTTGGAACCTCAACCCATGAAAATCTTCTTAGTGTTCCTACGGGATTGACGCCTAAACTTGGGCAATTTCCTCAGCAGTCATCAAATACGCAGCAGCTTGGAGACAATCAATTTTCCGATGTGTTCGGCGCACAAGATCCGTTTGCGAATGGTCAGCGACAGGAAATTTTCACAGGTTCTATTGATGTTACTGGATGGAACCGTCAGATGATGGAAAATAATGCGAGAAATAATGCTGTCTTTGGTCAAAGTTCAGGAGGGCCTTTCCCACCGCAGAATAGCACGGGGGCAGCTATCTCGCAAAGCGTTGGCGGTCCTACCACGTACGTCAAGCAGGAAAGTATGCAAGGGACTGCAATGTGGTCTGATATTCTAGAGCAATGCACTACCCCATCAATTCACAGGAATATCATGGAGTCACTTATGGGCAACAATCAGGTTGAAATGAGTGGTTCGCCTCGCACACAGGACCTCGGATCTACTCAAGTTCCTCCCTCGAAGGGTATTTTGGAGGCTTTGTCTCCGAGAGGTCTAGGCAGGGAGCCCCAAACTGCCTTGGAAGCTAGTTTGCAGGCTGTGACCCAGGAAAAAGCTCTGAAAAGTGCAGGGCTATATCAGAGACGACTGTGCGGAATGAGGTCTGAATCCCAGCAGCTGGATTTGCAGTTTGAAAAGAAAGTTACAATGGAGAAAAATCCAGAACTCGAATCTTTTCCCAAGCTGGATAGTTTTGGACGTTGGATGACTCATACGTTGGAAGGTCAAAACTTTTTGAGTCCGGGTGCCTTTCAAACCAGCTGGCCTGGTACACCAACGATGGGTTTCTCAGCCTTACCTGATGATTTGTATCAAATTCCAGTTGATGCGAGTCTCAGTACCTCGGTCGCGGCAGATCAGCGATACAGTATCACGGATTCTTCCCCGGAGTGGGCGTATGCTACTGAAGGTGCAAAGGTGCTGGTTTCAGGCGTGTTCTTGGGGGACTACGCTAATACATCTGATGTAAAGTGGCACTGTATGTTCGGAGAGGTGGAGGTTCCTGCGGAAGTAATTAGCGGTGGGGTACTGAGGTGTATAGCACCTCCACATGCCGCTGGGAGAGTATTGTTTTACGTCACTTGTGGCGACCGTCAAGCTCATAGCGAGATTCGCGAGTTTGAGTATCGTGCCGGTGGTAGAGTAGCACTTGACAACAAAGCCGAGCGTCAAGCAGCAGAGGAAAGGTTATTCAAGCTTCGGCTGGCGCACCTGCTGCTTACTGAATCAGATGAAAACAGTGGCCACTTGGACGAAGCGACTTTCCTGAAGCAGTGGCAATGTTTGAATTCCTTTTCTTCTTCACATAGCGATGCCGATTGGCAGGAAATGGAAACTCTCGCAAATACCACTGATTTCTCCCAAGATGTCAACTTTCACGATCGTCTACTCCAAGTACTTTTGAAGGCCCGCATGCAGAAGTGGTTACTATCTAAGATTCAAGAGGAAGGGAAGGGTGCCTCAGTTCTTGATGTGCGGGGGCAGGGGGTTCTGCACATGGCTGCTGCTTTAGGATATGACTGGGTAATTTCTCCGTTGTTAGCTGCTGGTGTTCCCATCAATTTCCGAGACGCCCGTGGCTGGACTGCTCTTCATTGGGCTGCTTCTTTTGGGAAAGAACAAGTTGTGGTCGCTCTGCTGGGACATGGAGCAGATCCAGGAACTGTGACTGACCCTACACCTTCGTGTCCATCTGGTCAAACCCCAGCGGACCTGGCATTGATGAATGGACATGTAGGAATCGGAGGTTTTCTTGCTGAGAGCAGTTTAACCCGCCGTCTATCGACGATGAGTCTTAAAGAGAATCCTATTGCTGTTGCGAATGCTCATTTTGCTGGTGAATCTGCTGTTGCAAAATTGTCGAGACGTGATAGCATCAAGCAGACCTTATCAAATAGAAGTGTAGATTCATTGTCCATTAAGGAATCATACAAGCC